CTGCGGCGACCGCACCGTCTGGCTTTCAGGGAGCAGCGTGTCGGCAAGCCGACCGAAAAGTGCTCTTACTCCGCTCACCCGGCCAGCATGAACCCGTTTTCTTTGCTGTGGTGCTTTAAGGCGTCATGGCGGTAGGTTTTTAACTGCACAGGTTTAGGGTTTACATGAGACTAATTTTATTTTGATACAAGACCTGGCAGCGCCTGAACGCCGCGCGTCAAGACGAGCGAGCTTTGCTGAAATAGTACCGGAAATCCGCGACGACTTCAAAATAAGTGTCCGTGAAGGCACTCATCCGATTCCTTTAATGTTGACAAGGATAGAAATAGCTAACTAGACTGGATATGGTCCATTGTTGTTTTTACGTATAAGACCATGATAAACAGCATTCTGTAAATTGGTTGCGATGAGGACACCTGTATATTTATCAAAAAGGTTGAACATCTAGGTTTAAAAAATTAAAATTGAACAAAAATTCAGGTGATAGGTTTTAAGCGTTTGACTGAAACAGAGAACCCACCTGGCAAGTATAACCTGGAGTGTGTGTTAACTGAACGCCATGGATTACTGATGTTACGTTTTCTTAATGATGTCACAATAAGTTAACCGAACAACACATGTGCCTAAAAATATTTCACTCTCGGTTCGCAAATTATTACTTTTATTATTTCCAATTGTTATAACGCTCATGGAACGAAATTATCAACACGATTTAACGGTGAAAATCCTACACAGAAGTAATCCGTTTATCTCACAGGCAGCTTGACGACTCTACCTCCATCAAAACAAATGCAGAATCAAAGAAATGACGAGTTTCCGCTTCCGCTCGCAGTTTGAGACGTTCACAGGACTGCTGCTGCCACCTACTGGAAAAGATATGAGATATCCCTAAATTACTAAATTAAGGAAGCGATGAGGTGATTTTATCCATAGATATGGATTCTATTGTCTTTTTTTTTCAAATGAAAATGTTGTGTTCGTGTTGCATCGTAGATTATTATGACATGGACTGTCATAAACACCAGTTAATAATTCAATCATCTATAATAAGGAACATATTGTTTGCACACCGATGTCTTCCTTTTTCTGTTTTTCCATATTTCTTTTTTTGCTCCAGTCTTAAAAATTAAACAAAGCTTAAATTATGTGATTTTATTAGTCAACCGCCTTAAACAACTATTAACTCTTGACATGAACACTCTGATATTTGGCAGATCCAAGTTAGCCTGTAGCAATGATTGATCATTAAATGTTCATCACATATCCGTTCTACTTTCATACTACACCCAGTCTTGAAATTTGATCTGGTTTCACAGCTGAGCTGAACTTTATTAAAGTTCAATTTAACATCTGAAAATGTCCTGCCAAGAGTGAAAGGAAAACTTAAAAAAAATAACTTTAAAAACTATTTTTTCATCAATATTATATTATCAGTTCTTAATAGAGCACACAGTCTTGTATCATCAAAACCAACAACAAATCACACAATAACCAGTATTTGGGACTAAGAATTTAACTGTCTGTCCCCGCAAAAAATATGGTCTTCAGTTGGAGCTTTCTGCCAATGTGTCCATAAAAAACTGCCCTCTTTCTAAAGTGAGGGTCAACTCTCGATAAATGTGGAGGTTTGAACACAAACTATGACACAGTAATGACCACAAAGACACCAAATCTGAATATTTTCTGTCCTGATTCTGGCAGTGATGAGGAGCTAAACTACTTTGAGCTTCCTTCAGACCTTGATTGGTGGTTCCACAGTGTAGTGGTTAGCAGAGAGCAGAGAGTCCAGGGTTCGATTCCCAGAGGAACCACATACTTGATCATGTTAATCCTCTTCCGTAGGTCGCTTTGGATAAAAGCGTCTGCTAAATGCATAAGATGTAAATGTAAATGTAAATCTCCTACAAAACTCACTCTGGACTTTTCCTCTAACGTCTGCCAGCACCCTACAGTCAAATTCCTGAATACTGAGGATTTTGCTGCTGCTCCTGTGGAAGTGTCTGGTTCAGACTCTGTCCTGCTGCTCTGCTCAGACAAAAGGCTCTTCTAATAAATGATACACCTGCTCTCCTTCATGATTCTTTAGGACTATTTAGAATAGTGCAGCGTTTGCCAACAGGTTTTCACCATCTCATAGTTATACATGCTGTGCCTCGTTCTTGGTTCTGTAGTTCCTGTGATACAGAAACAGGCCTTCAGGGCCTTCCATTTCTCTGTTTTCTCCAGCTGTTTCGTTTAACTCCTTGGAACGAGCAAAGACGTGAGGTCATTTCTGTAACCTCCAGCTGAAGAAACAAGATAAAAACCAATAAATCCTTAGTATCAAAAATCAGGAGACCCCAGGACCCTCAGCTAAAAAAAAACCCAAGATGGCTGCTCCTCATATCAACTCTAACCCATCCTTCTGTCTGTTTACAGTGTGTTATTTACCATGTTATTATTAAGTTATCTCTTCTTTAACTATTCTTTAACTAAAGAATGACAAATACGATTTTATGGCACACTTATGCAGTATAATAATACCAATACTACTACTACTACTACTACTACTACTACTACTACTACTAATAATAATAATAATAATAATAATAATGACATTTCTTATTACTATAACTACTCTCTTTCTCTCTCTCTATATATATATGTATAGATATATTTGCAAACCAAATGTTATTTTACTTTTGTCCATATAGCAGTAGTTCTAAAATAATCATACTAGTACCATATATGGACACACTACTTGTAAATGTCTTGAATTTGGGCCTTGATTCATGGCAGAAGTTCCTGAAATTAATTGTAAATAAAAATCACATCTCTGCGCGGCACTAGTTGTAGTGTATTTCACCTGTGGGTTTGTTGCCTTGTTTACTAATAATGAGTTGTGGTCTCTATACCATCACTGATGAGAGCGTTATAAATGTTACTCTATATACGGAGTAACATTTATCAGTGCAGATGTTCTGATGAGACCATTAAAAATACATCATAAAAGTAGTGGTGGAGTGGGTGAGCCGTCGGCTCTGAGCTATAGTAGCTGCTCTGTGCTTTTTGGCGATGCTATAAGGTGATGACATCCACTCTCTGTAGGCTATAATCATATAAAAGGGGCGACATGTCGGGGCAGGGGCAGGTGCAGCACGACGCCTCTGCTGTTCACTGGAGACACTGAGCTGCAGTCGACACGAGCCCGCAGGAGCTTTCACGTAAATGGGAGACTAAATTACAGTTTCTGTTGTGTTGTGTTTTCCACTGGGTGTTTGCCGAACACAACACAACACAACACACAGCCTCGTGTCTATGTGTGTGTGTGTGTGTGTGTGTGTACATGTATGTGGTATCTGTAGGACAGGTTCTTGTGAAGAGGAGTGACCTTCTCAGAGAAGAACTGTACATTGGACACAGCCGTGGTCTCCAAATATTTTTACCAGATTTTTTTCTGTCCAGTCACGAAAAAAAAAAAAAGTTTGAGTCAAGTTTAGGTCCTGATGAAAAACCTGGTCCAAAGAAAAGGCCTGGTTCTGCAGATGAAGTCCTGACTCAGAGTCTGGTATTTCTATATTTGTGTGGACTTTTTTTAAAAAAAAAAGCATTTGTCATGGGGACAGTGTCCTTGTGGGGACAGTTTGTGGGGACAGTTTGTGGGTCCCCACTGGGTGAGAAGATATTTTGAGGTTCAAGATTTTTGGTTTGGCGTTAGGAGTAGACTTAGTGTCAGATTAAAGTTAGGATTGAGATTAGGCATAAACTGTATTAGTAATGTATGGGGATATAGGGAAGGTATATGGTCACAACAACAACAACAAACAACAACAACAGCAGCAGCAGAGCTTTGCGTCTAGTGCAGAGATTTAAAGAGAGTTAAAGACAGGCATGTCCACGTCCATGCGTTTGCGCACGCGTTGTGCATGCATCCACGTGCACGCGTGCAGCCTCGCTGCAGATCTGACTCGTACATAAAGGGGAGCAGCCAGTCAGGTTCTTTCGGCGGCAGACGGCAAAAATGATAGGCGCACCACTGGATGCTGCACTCCATCCAGGCGCGGGACCAGGACCCAGATCAGCCAGGAAGACCCCGAGGCGCCCAGAGCTGGTCCGGCTCATCTGGCCACTGATGCTGTTCACGCTGGTCCACAGAGCATCAGCTCACCCTCAGTGTCTGGACTTCGAGCCGCCCTTCAAACCGCCCTGGCACCTGGAGTTCTGCCGGCAGTACGAGGAGTTCGGATGCTGCGACCAGAAGACAGACAACGCGATCGCGGAGAGATACTGGGACATCATCGAGGAGCTGGAGGCGGCGGGTCAGGAGCTGTGTGCTGACATGTTGAAGGAAGTCATGTGTCAGGTACTGGAGTGGCCCGCACACTTTGGATAATTATCACTGTGGTAAATAATAATAATAATAATAAACAACAACTTTACAGAGTCAGTAAATCAGTTTGCGGTATTTCCCAAGTACCTTGATGCAACAAATACGTAATTTCTTTTAAAGTACAAATTAAAAAATGTAACAGTGTAAATCCTATCATTACATAAACAGATGACTATTAACAAATGAAACGGTTAATTTAAACGGTAAATTAAACGAATTAAACGAGGTTCCCAATCAAATGTAGAATGTTTTAAATTACATCAATTCTTTTATTTCAAAGAAGTTATACTGCTGTATAACCCAGGCGTGGTCAAACTGTGTGGCTCGCGGACCACAATGGGTCCTAAAATTTGACAGGAGGGCCGGGTCAGGAGGAGATCGATGGAGCGTAGAAGATAAATGACATGTAATAAATATCATGCGTAAAAGGATAAAATGATAAAATACTTTTAGCCTTTTCTACGCCATCTATTGGGGAAATGCAGGCATTGCAGGGAAAAGGCAGAAGTATAACGCTAATATAAATTAATATCATAATTTGGACAAGTTTGGTGGGCCGGATTAAAAGGCCAAATGGGCCGCATCTGGCCCCCGGGCCGTAGTTTGCCCATGTCTGGTATAACCCAAACTACTGCCCCACTGATCGTGAAGAGGCGACATGTGTAGAAGCTAAGCTGCCACTGATCGAGAAGAGGCGACATGTGTAGAAGCTAAGCTCCAGTGTCCGTTGTGTCTCGTCCAGGAATGTTCTCCATATGCAGCCCACCTGTACGACGCTGAAGACCCATACACACCCGTACGAGAACTTCCTGGCCTCTGCTTCGGCTACTGTTCGGAGTTCCACGGCCAGTGTGCTCATGTGTTGAAGTACCTGACCCACAACCGGCGGCTGCTGGACACCTCTGTGAGGGACATGTCCACCTTCTGCAGCATGGTGGACCTCTCCGACCAGGACTACTGCTACCCCAATGTTCTGAAGACCACCGACCTCAACAGCAACCTGGGCCAGGTGGTGGAGGACCCCAAAGGGTGCCTGCAGCTGTGCCTGACAGAGGTGGCCAACAGCCTGAGGAACCCAGTGTTGATGCTGCACAGTGGAGACCACACCCACCGCATGTTCATCGCCGAGCAGGTGGGCTTCGTGTGGGTCTACCTGCCGGACGGCAGCCGACTGGAGCGGCCGTTCCTGGACCTCAGCGGGGAGGTGATGACCACACCCTGGCTGGGCGATGAGAGAGGGTTCCTGGGAATGGCCTTTCACCCCAAATACAGAGACAACGGCCTCTTCTTCATCTACTACTCCATCCAGGTCAACAACAAGCTGGAGAAAGTCAGGATCAGTGAGATGAAGGTGTCTGCTCACGACATGAACGTGGCTGACCCACACTCTGAGAGGTCAGGACGTCCAGTCAGTGCTGTTCACTGTCAGGGTTTACTATTATATCTGCTATGTTTCTGAACTCATGTGTTAAGTTTGAGTTGGTTTATCTTCAGAACCTATTGCTAATTTAGTCTCCGCGTCTTGTCTATAATTAGCTCCATATTAGCTACATTCTCAGCCAAGACCTTTAGATAAGATGAAGGTTTGAGAAAACTTTTACAAGACCATAACAATAATGGCTAGATTTTAGCCATAAGTTAGCCAAAAATAAGCTAGCTAATAATTAGCTAAAATAGCAAAAATAGACAAGAGTAAGAAATAAATCTACGTTTTTAAGTAGCCAAAAGTGTCTGATGATAAACAAAGTAAATTTTAACAAATATATATATAGATAACACGCATAAAATATATAATATTTACCACTAAAACTAAAGTATTTCATTAGTTAAAGCACCTGAACATCTTGCCTTAGTAACCACTAAGAACAACATAGTTGAATAGGAGCCACAGTGATTTATACAATACATCATGTTTCACTGTAAAGTACTGCAGTAACCTGATGATGGCTCTCTTAAAAAAATCTTACCCTGCTAATTACCCTGCTACAAATCCCTGGATCGCAGCCACTCTGGGGGCCTCAGGCCAAAACGTTTGACACCATTTATCTGCTGACACCTTTGGTTGTGAGCCCGCGCTAACTCTGTGCTCTGTGTGTTGATGGTAAGCTCCAGGTAGCTGCTGAAAGAAAAGAGTGAAGATTTAATTCTGCCAAAATGTAATTATGTGCATTTATACAAACATCCAGAGTTGGGATTGACAGGAAAAACAGTCGGTGTTTGACGCCTTGATCTCCAGTCAGGCTCTGGTATCTGAAACGTCTGTAAAATAAATCAATAAACCAAGAAGGGATGCATGACCTTTGACCTGTGTCCCTGTCTTTTTCTCACTCTCAGGGTGGTGTTAGAGATCGAGGAGCCTGCTGCCAACCACAACGGAGGACAGCTGCTGTTTGGACTGGACGGATATTTGTACATCTTCACTGGAGACGGTGGAAAAGCTGGAGATCCATTTGGGAAATATGGAAATGCCCAAAACAAGTATGTGGTTTAGCAAACCTCTGGGGGCAGATTGGTACACTACGCTCAAAATATTATGACATGTACACTGCAACTTTGATCAGTGAGGAGCTAGTTTAAGCCAAGAAGAAAACCAAAATTAACTCATTAATAGCTACAGTACGAGTTAGTTAGTTAGAAAATATAGTAGGAGTAGCAAGAAGAAAGATATTAAGGTGATGACCAAATGTGAAAACAACTGTTAAGGTTCTTTAAAATGTTCCTGTTGCTAAGACAATAGCTAATTGGTAACTGATCAGCTAATTTATAGCTTTTTACCTGTTTGATACAGAAAAAAAACAAAAAAAAACAAAACAGAAAAACTGCCAAATCCTACCTAAAAGCTAGATTACGTATAACAGAAATCAGGCTAAAACTAAATATTTGTTCAGAAAACTAAAATTTGAATTGATCAGAGAGCTAAAATGTAACCATAAAACTGACCAAAGTAAAGACACCATTTCAGCTGAACCTTCTTTTCCAGGAGTGCTCTGCTGGGGAAAGTTCTCAGACTGGACGTGGACGGTACCGAGCCCAGTGGGAGGCCCTACAGGATCCCACCTGACAACCCTTTCATCGGCGACTCTGGCGCCCGACCTGAGGTGTACGCGTACGGAGTCAGGAACATGTGGCGATGCTCCGTGGACCGTGGAGATCCTGTGAGTCTCTCCGGTCGAGGCAGGATCTTCTGTGGAGACGTGGGTCAGAATCGCTACGAGGAGATCGACATCATAGTGAAAGGAGGGAACTACGGATGGAGAGCTAAAGAGGGGTTTGAGTGCTACGACCTGAAACTCTGCCACAACGCCTCTCTGAGTGAGTATCTTCATCGCTCCAACACCACCTGTTCATTCTCCCTCAGTCTGCCTTTTTGGACATTTTTGAATCCTTCAGATTTGACTATGTTTTTTTTTTCTGCCCTGACAGATGACGGCCTGCCTATATTTGCGTACAGCCATCATGTTGGGAAGTCTGTGACGGGGGGATATGTGTACAGAGGCTGTGAATCACCCAATCTGAACGGACTGTACATCTTTGGTGACTTTATGAGTGGGTAAGAGCAGATTACATCAGATTAAAAAGTAGCCAAACACAGAGCCAAAACAGCATGTTCTCGTCTGTCCAGGACTATGGCTAAAAGATAACCTAACAGCACAGCTCAACATTGGCTGAAAAGTATAAAAGATAGCCAATAATGGCCAAAAAAAAGCCAAGCATAAAAGCTGTTAAATGTTAGCTAAGGTGGAGCAATTGCTTACATCTAGATAAGATTTGTGTTAAAAAAAAAGAAAGGTTTGTGTTGAAAAAATACAAGTACAAACTATACATATTCAGATTATTTAGATTATTTACCCAAAAAGACTAAAAGCTAGCAAAACAATGCTAAAAGTTAAGTCAGTCAAAAGAAACTTGGAGTGAGCCATAAGTACAGAGAGATGGATGGATGATTAAAGTAGTAAATATAATATAATATAATATAATATAATATAATATAATATAATGTAATATAATATAATATAATATAATATAATCCTTCCTGTCAAATGTTGCAGTCGAATAATGGCCTTAGAAGAAGACAAAACCACAGGAGGCTGGAGAGAGAGGAGTGTTTGTATGGGAGACACCAAAACCTGCTCTTTTCCTGGACTCATCAATCATCACCACAAGTTCATCATCTCCTTTGCTGAAGATGAAGCAGGTGACACATCCTGGAGTCTCTGACAGGCTGCAGATGTTTGGACGTCGTCAGCTGTAACGTCACTGACCAGACTTTTTTTTCTTCTTTTCTCCACTGTTGCAGGAGAACTCTACTTCATGGCCACAGCGTATCCCAGCTCCTCCTCTCCCTACGGAACTGTTTTCAAGTTCAGGGATCCTTCCAGGTAAAGTCTGCACGTCAGTTCATCATTTAGCACGGAGACGGTTTACGGAGATTAGCATGATAGAAATACCAACATGTTACTGCAGTACACGGGTTAAAAAAAACACTGATCTACTCCAGTAGAACATGCTGTTAATTGTGATCCTATTTAGAGGAAAGTGGAGTCAACGACAGCTAGTTTGGCCGCTCACTGCCTCTGAACTTTTGATTTCAAATGTTGACGGTGGTGGTTAATTCCTCAGTCGTTGGTCATCTTTTAACTTAGCAGGATGCTAACTGCCATTAACTGATAACATTACTGGTCTGATCCAGTGGACTCCTCCTCTGAACCTTATTTAAAACCCCATGATTCGTGCAAAACTGAAAACAAAAATTCAATCCAAACCATTTAAGTAAATAATGCAAGTGAAAAGTACAGTCGAACCTCAATTTTCAAACTTAATTCCTTCCTGAAGGCCGTACATGAACTGAAAAGTTCGAAAACTGAAACAACCTTCTCCATAGGAGTCAATGTAAAAAGGATGAATCCGTTCCTGAACCCCTGATGATTCATGTTTAGACTTTTTCAACCGTATTTTTTGTACAAGTTCATACACGAAACCAATAAATATAATTGGATCTAATAAAAAAGATAAACACAACTGAACAAAGAATAAGGCTATACATGGGAAAGGCAGTTTCACTCTGAACTGGCCGTAGTGTGAATGTGAGTGTGAATGGTTGTTTTTCCCTGAATGTTGCTCTGTGATTGACGGGTGACCTGACGACTGCTGGGATTGGTTGAATGAATGTTGATGGTTAATCTATAGGTAAAGATCAGTTCAAAGCAGGTTCACAGTCTTATACCATCACCAGTGAACCGGCGGTTCAGTTCAAAGGTTAAAGGTTGGTTCCTGTGATCTGAACAAAGGAGCATCATGTTGAGGTGGTTCAAACTGAGGCTCCATTCTCAAAACTACACCACGTTGGTCTCAGCAAAACAACTGCAGGTTTGTACTTCCCACCAGGATAGATTATATACAGTTTGAAGTGTTGATTGTCCAGTTTCTATTTGTGTAGGATCACTGTGTAGGAGAACGAGATCTGTCTGAGAAAAAAAAAAAAAGAGCTTGAAAACTTCAGCGGCAGCTGCCAAAGTAAAAAAACCACAACAACAAACCACACATTTGGTCCAATAAAAACATCACTATGAGGAAAAGCAACAGCAGAAACTGCTTCATGACTCCATCTGATGAGTAATGACTACAATTATAATAATTGGAGATGAGAAATCTTATTTTGGGAGGCATGTTCCGCACAGAGTGTGGGGGCTGAGTGGGGGGAGGTCTCACATCTACGTCTCCTTCTGCAGGAGAGCTCCTCCAGGAAAGTGCAAACAGAAGTCACTGCCAGTCAAAGTGAAGGGGAAAAAGATCCCGTTCGTACCCAGAGAACGTAAGTGTCTGCCTTCAGAAGTTCATCCTCACTTCACTGTCTTCAGCTCGTACTTGAAATATTTACGATCTGCGCGAACAACACCGAAGAACATTTCAGATATATGATATCATTTACAGTTGGAGTTCTCTACCACCTAGAACCACAGACAGGTGGTTCCACAGAGAAACAAACATGACATATTATTTGAATTTTATATATTTATTTATTTAAAAGGGCAAAGGATTTTTTTAAAAAAAAACTATTTTTCTAGCAAACACCACTACACCTGCTAAGACCTGCTGTCAAAATAAAAGTCCTTGGAGTTCTTTTAAAAAAAAGACAGTTTCAGAATAAAAGAATCTAGCAAACACCTCTACACCTGCTAAGACCTGCTGTCAATTTTTAAAAAAAGACAGTTTCAGAATAAAAGAAAATTTATAATCCTGCTTCACCTGTGAAGGGGTTAAAGGTCGTCCTGAAGTTTTAGTTTTAAAAAAGTGGCTTACCAAAAATGAAATGACTATTTCATTATTGACATCGCAGCAGATGTCACCATGTCAACTCACAGGCGGCCACAAGGGAGGCGCTATTAAGTATGTGTTTCCTCTAGGGCTCGAACCCTGGACCTTCTGCATGTAGGGCAGATGTGTGAGACAGGCATGAGAGACATCAGGACTAGAAGACTAAACAGTTCCCTGCTCCAGAGCTAGGACTTTTGAGGAGTACACTTTAACCATGAACTAGAACTGTTTTACTGTTTGCAAGGTACCGATGTCCAAAAGACATTTTGACCAAACATGTCCTACCAGAGATGTTGTCTCAGAGGGACATCCAGAAAGCCTGGACATGATCATCCACATCAGAAATGAATCCAAATTGGAAACAAAAACTGAAGAATGTGTCCTAACATCAGCACTGAGATCTCTCTGCTGTTTAACTGGTACTGATGACATTTGTTGTTTCATCACATGTGTTGGACACCAATGAAAAGCCCACCAGACCACCACCCAGACTGGTCAGACTCACCACCAGAGCCCCGGTGTCAAACCGCAGAGTCGAACCTTCCACAACAACAGCGGCAGCGGCCCGTGTGACCCAGGCCAGCACTGACCCACTCAGGCTGAAAACCACAGACGCCCGACACAGGCAGAAAGATGTGCTGAAACCATGGAAGAAGAAGAACAAAGTCCTGAAGAAGAAGAAGAAGGTCGGAGAACAAACGAAGAAGGAAAAGAAGAAGACCATGACGAGGCAGACATCCAGGACACGGACAAAAACGATACGGCCGACCGGCGGCCGAGACAGAATAAACACAGAGACCAAACAGACTGGACCGAAGGATCCAACACCGTCCACCTGAGGAGGACACAGAGACGGGCCAGACTGGACAAAAACAGCATCAGTGTCAAAGTGTCCGCAGCTGCAGGTCCCACTTTGACCAGTCAAACGAATCTGAATGTGGAAAAACCACAGAACACAACAAGGACACGATGAAAAAGCACTTTAGGTCAGTCGTTATTTGTTCCTTTTCCTCACCTCATGTTGATGTTGTTGAGCTGTACTGTATATGTAGAGAATATGATGATTAATACCAGTGTCAAATAAATATGAACCCACAGCCAACAGCTAAAAACAGAATGCACTCAGCATCACCTCCATATGTCACCGCTAACAAGCTTTAGCTTGTTTTCATCGAACCGCCACGAAAGCTGATATACACAAAACAGATACTAAATCTTTTGAGTCAAGTCTGTTAATCAGCCATAAATCCCTGAAATTCATGTCTTTATACCTTTGGTTTGCAAACCAAGGTGTGATATATGCTTCACAGACTGTGATTAATTGGCTGCTGCGTGGATGTTTGCACTTGCAGCACCAAGTGAACTTTCTCTTTGTGTGACTTTGGAAATGAAGAGAATCTGCAGGTTTTACCAAAAGGCTCTGAGGGGGAATGGGTTCCTGACGTGATCAGTACTTACCCCTGAATGCACCATGTTTGACCCCGGTCCACTACACTATTCTATAGACAGTACTATACTGTGCTGTGCTGTATGAAACTAGACTCCATTATGTAGTTGGTCTGACTCTGTTTGAAGTGACAAGCCTCACATGGTGTTTAGTTAAACAGCAGCTTCTGTATTGGTCGTTCTGAGCCTCTGTTTACTCTGATACAGCTGAGTATAGCATTGTTGACTATCAGATACTGTACTAGGTCGTGGTTCTCCCTCTAAAGAACAAAGAGACAACTGTGGTGTCCAACGAAGTTTGTCTTTAAAGTGTTGAACTGTTCCTTTAAGGACAGGACTGAGGACTGGACTAATTATGCAAATATGCATGTAATGACACCGTTTCCTCGACATCTTTATTTTTGACGTCCATAAAAAGAGTAAATGAGCGTCTCTGTCACTTTTAGAAACGTAAACCGGTTGGAAATAGAAGTAAGGAGTAAATACACACGCTCACAAAATCAGAGCTAAACATGACGGTGGTAAAAATACACACCAGAACGTGTCGCATCCATGTGTGTGTGTGTCAGTGTTGCTCTGTAATTAAAAACCTCCCAGACCGCTGTGGTAGACCGTGTGTCCACCAAAGACTGCCGTAAATGTAAAGCTGTTCCTGGCAGCCGTGTGCAGCCCAACACCATGAGGGGGCGTACATCCCTCAATATAAAGTTAGTTCTCTGATGATGATGATGATGATGATGATGATGATGATGATGATGATGATGATCAGCTCAGTCCTGAAACTGAATGTCTCATTTTCATAATAGAAATTATGAAAAGAATGTTTATTGTCAGGGACGAGGGCGCTACATGTAAAACTAAATTGCGGAGGCATTTTCCAGACAGAGTCACGACAGAGAAAGAACTGCTACGATAAAAATCAACGACGGTCAGAACAGTCAGGTTAGCTGAGGGCAGAGACGACGACGTCCTGCTGCCGACACAGGTGTGATAACATGTCAGACTGCTGCTGCTGTGATGATGGTATTACGGTGATGGGTATGAGCGGAGGGTCGGGGAGGGGGGGGATGAACCAGCTGTAACACTGAAAAGACGTCAACAATCTGCGTCAGAACTGAAGCCATGAGATCAGCATTAACTCCACTGTACTGTACTGTACTGTACTATACTGTACTGTACTGTACTGCACTGCACTGTACTGTACTGTACTATAATATTCTAGTCTGTGTCATACAGTATGATACATGTCCTGTGCAATACTATACTATACTATACACCAAATACCCGTGACCTCTGCATTTTACCCCTCACCAAAGTGAGCTCAGCTCAGGAGCCCGGGGACGATGCCATGCTCAGTGGTAACTTGGCAGCTGTCGGACTTGAACCTGAAACCTTCCAGACCCAAGTCCGCTTTTATAACCACCAAGCCACCATACTATACTACACTATATTTTACACTTTACTATGCTACACTACACACCTGGACCTTAGCATATGTATATATATTTGCACCAACCAACACAACTGGGAATCATGTTCCACCTATTGAAGCCACCAGTGGAACACCAGTTGGACATCAGTTGGACACCAGCTGGACACCAGCTGGAGGACCTCTGGACCACAGTGTTGTCCACTCTCAGGACTGCGTTCTTGTGTGAACTTGTTCCTCCTCAGCTTCTTGGTGTTCATCTTAGAGCGCTGTCCCACATTTCCTTGACTGAAGCTCCATGAAATAAACGTCTCTGGGTTCATGTTCAGACATCCTGTTGTAATGCAGAGCTCAAAGGCCTCATTTACTCTGACATCACAGTGAGTCCACTCAGGGCCTTCAACCACAGCATCCCGACTAATTACAAAACTTCATGATTATACATTAGAAGTTAAAGTGATAGTTCAGAGTTTTGGACTCTGAGTCTGAGTTGACTTCAAGTCTCTCATCTCCACCGTACCACCAGGACAGGAAACCAGTCACACCAGTACAGACGGGGGGTTGGGTTAATGAGTTACTGACAGACGCAGCACATGTGACACAAATGTGCAGGTCTTAGTAGAAATCCAGTATGTTGTCTGACTTTGAGATGAAGCTTTTTCCAAATGTCCCAAACGTCCCAGGTGTTTGACTTTGTTACTGAGTCACAGACTCTGCCATAGTGGACATTCTTCACAACGTCCCAGGTGTTTGACTCTGCCATAGTGGACATTCTTCACACTGTCCTTCCTGTCCCACGTGCACACAAACGTGGACAGAACTCTGAGGGTTCTGCAGTGAGGTGGACGTTGGACGGTGTCCTGCTGGACAATGTCTAACGTTGTCTCTCTGTCACTGCCTGAGGGTTTTTTCCCGCAGGGTAAACTCTTTGAAGAAGATAAAACCACACCACTGTTAGACTAACAAGAGGCTGCACTGACTTCTGAAACCAAACACACACACACACACACAAACAACCACTTCCTGTCTTTAAAAAGCAGTATTTATGAGTTTTCTTGAATACTTCACAAATAAGTAAACGTACAAGTATCTGCTCCACGGTGAACATGAAGTTTGACCATGTTGGCCTGAGCCAATCAGGTCGTCTGTGTGTACTTTACTTCACAAAGACCAACACAGTGTGTGTTATGTTTCTCAGGTAAATAATGAAGGTAGAAGAAAAATACTCTAACGCTAATTCTTTGTTCTTTATTTGAAAAGTCATAAACCCGACCACACGGACTGGTTAATTGTAATTGCTCAGATAGTCAAAGGACACAGTTAGGCTGTGGTTATAGTTGAAAACCGGGTTTATTTTTTATGATCTCTTTATCTAATAATGAAGAAAGACCTCAGTAAAATGTATGATTCTGAATTTATTAGGGATTGATGATTTTATTGACTTTTTTAATCAAGAAGACCATTAGAACACAACGTTGAGAAACCATTACTGGAAACACATTACTGCCTTAATGATATTTTTCAATAACTATTTTTTTCTGTTACTCATTATAATTTATAAAATATTAGTATAATATTAGTATAGTATAATTTGCCTTTCATTTCTTTCCCTGATCTTTCATTAATACCTAATTTCCTTTGTTCTATAATGAAACAACTCCCCACATTTCCTCCCAAGTGGATGATTTAAAGAAGTTATCAAAAAGTAATCAGAGTATTCTCACATACTCTGGGAACCACCTTATTCCAACTCTAAAGATACAAAAAACCTGCTAGAGTAGTTTTATTAGAAACGTCTGTCTGACATTTCTATAATGAGTCCGTGGTTTAATATTATCTTTTTTCATTCAGTAATAAAATGAATACTATAAACGCTATAGAAATCTGTGAAAATGTCAAAGAAAAGTCTGAAGCCAACGTGCGCCACAAGAGTTGGATAAATGTCGCCCTCTAGTCCTCCAATGATGTATTACAGGCGAATGCAGCGTTTACCGTAAACATTCCACATAAACGATTACAAAAATGACAAAGGGTGCACAAACATGTCTCACCAGCAAAACAGGATAAACCGCTGCTCTGTTTACAAATGTACACTCACAGTAACAGAGTGCTGCGGTTGAAAAGTCAGCTCAGGATCAGCCGAGGGTTTCAATTCTTCTTCTTATTTATATTAATGCAGTTTTCATGGTATTTTCCTTGTAGATGCCCCCCCCACATTCCAGGATGTTTAGGATTAAAGAATGTAATACACTGTAGAGTAAACGGGCTGTGATTAAAATGTTTAATTCATGTTTGCTCAGACAGACTAACGCCCTAACGCCTTCATCTGTAGAGAGCTGAGCTGTAACAAAACCTGCACTATTGTATAAACACAGTTTCTGTTACATATATGTACATACTTTATTAACAGAGTCTTGAAATTTGTGCCTAGATTATAGTGTCAACTGCATTAACAGAGTTAGTTAAGGTGGACAGATAGTTACTCTGTCCACCTTAACTACCTCTGCTAATAACTTCTTCCATGAGATAATTAAGGCCCTAACAGCGCGGTCACCGTCACCAGTGATGGCGACAGCGTGTCTTTATCAACGGCTGATGTGGTAAACCACGTCTCCCACCTGCAGGATCCCCGTCCGCTCCACCGTGAGCAGTTGACCAAAGAGTGGATCGGACTTGTAGAGCTGTTTCTCAGAGGGAACACACTGACGGTAGCTGTGAAGGAGACATCATCTGTGTGAGTCCAGTTCTAACCCGCACACGTATGGAAATATTTGAGGATTTCATCTAATTTCACTGCCCTAGCAGAGAAGAATTTTTTTTTTAACAGAGAAGAATTTTCTTTTTTTTACCTGAGCATTACTGCTTAACAGTTATCTTGAAAACTTTTAATTATTTTCAGACGGACTTAAATGTTATAACAGGTTGAAAACCCTTACTTTTTAAAATAGATAACATTTAATTATTCCAATTAATCTTTAACAAACAATTACTCTTTTTTTTTTTTTACAACTTTTTTCAAATTAAAAAACATGATGTCCAACAAAAGGCATGCAACCCTTAATGTGGTCCGTGGAGCTCCTGCAGAGGGGTCATAAAATGATTTACTGGGCAAAAGAAAAAGAAAACTTTACCAAATTTTCCATCAAATTTCAATGTCTTCAAATACACAACTGACATCCCAGCATTTACATGTCGTTACAAATCAATGTCTTCAAATACACACTGACATCCCAGCATTTACATGTCGTTGACAATGCTGATATTGTCATCAGTATCAGTTGACAGTCAGTGGCCTCTGTTATACTGTACATTATTTTGGAGGGGGTCTTTGCTCCATCTCTCCATAACTTTGGAGGGTCTTTGGACTGAGGGTTGAAGGATGAGACTAATCAAAATGTTCTTGTAGTTTTACCTCTTCAGTGTCTGCAGAGGTTCTTTCCTGCTGGTTATCCCAGTCTCAGGGTCCACTGTTGTGAAAATGCACCTGCAAATACCAACAAAGTACCGTTTATTCCACGCAGTTTAAATCCCAAGTTCAACCCATCAATCACTTCTCTCCACGTTACCTTCCACATGACATCACACGCTGCAGACGCACACTGCCAATCTGGAGCTCTTTCCATGAATCCTAAAAAAGCAAAGCAGTCGGATTTAGAGTCGGGGATAAATTTAGCGGCAGCTCAGGCTGAAGACGGCGATGGATTAGTCAGAAAAATGTAAAGATGTTTTTTCAGACGGGGGAAAGAGAACATGGGCTAGACAGGTATTTTTAGAATTCTTCAACATTTGATTTGTTTTTCTTTGTTCCCCAGACAGGAAGTTCCAACTGTGATGACAAAGAACCAGGAATAATACAAAGTTTTTAAAGAACTGATTCTTCACTTTGGTTTCCGAAAGAAGAAAATTCTCACCTCAGCGAAGGCCTCGCAATCACTGACCACGATGTTTGGACGGAAACGATTCACCTTCACGCCGTTGTCCAACTTACTGCTCAGGTCCTGGACAGAGGCCTCGGACAACAGCATCACAGGGGCCACGTCCGAATACGCCACCACCTGGACAAACAGAAACACTTCATGAGTAATAGAATTCCAGAGCTTCATTATTACGCCGCAATCATATGGTTTCACTTCGAAAACAGCTGTGTGGGAAAAAGACAAAGACACAACAACTGTCAGGTAACGGCCGCTACCTCGTCATCTGGAAACGGACCCTCTGGCGGTCTTCTGCCCTTCATCTCAGGCTCATGGTGCACCAAGCGAAACGTTTTATTACCGCCTAGATAACGGGTCAGCCACTCAGAGGCCTCGTCCCCACAGTCCAGACCGTGGATGTCAGTACCAAAAACTCTGGAGCACAAAAGAGGTCACACACAACAGGAAGTGGTTGATAAGTTTGTCACAGCACGATCCATAAATCTGAGCGAAGAAAAAAAGCAAACCAAAAGTTGTGAGTTTGAGGACAACAATAATTAAAGACCTATTTTGAGCCGCTGCACATTTTACATTGGTCCACCACCAAACGTGTCATCAAATATAACAATCTTTTTGCCCTAATTTACTCCCTCGGTGTGAAAGTGGACTTGTTTAGCTGAACACGGTGTACCTGCAGGAATTGAAGAAAGACAGACACAAAAATCTTTAATTTTCCACATTACCCCTGATGGTCTCTCACAGCACACTAGCGTTGGGAGTCACTGTGCTACACCAAATGTTGCCCAAGTGCGGAAGAGAACCTCCTAAAACTGCAGTGAAATATGTTCTTCAACCTTCAACTCAATTATCAACAAAAGTTTATATTTCTGCCTCCAGATGTTACAAGAACAGGTCAGACGCCACAGGACACCACTGGACGCCACTGGACGCCACAGGACACCACCGGACACCACAGGACACCACAGGACACCACAGGACACCACAGGACACCACTGGACACCACGGGACACCACAGGACACCACCGGACACCACCGGACACCACAGGACACCAC